ATCCTCAGAGAAAGGTAAATACAGTGTTCAAATGAAGGACATAATACATCGTGTAGCATCTCTCAACGAATGTAGTATTAATGGTACTATAATGGTACTATCTTTTCCGCTTAGGCCTATAGTCTTGGTGTGAACTTGGCGATGATTTATTCGAATAAACACCCCGTTTTGAATAGACTCCTCTTTTAACGCCCCATCTAGAGCCTTATGTTTTTTTCTCAAATAAACGCCCCCAAAGGACTGTAAACAAAACTAAAGGAACTTAACTTCGTTGTCGATACATTCTATTAATGTTGTACGGTACCGTTAGCATTGCACTTCAGTAGCATTGCATTTGTTATGATGAAGATGATAATAATAATACTAATAATTGGGTAAAATATCATTCTTAATTTTACTGGATGAAGCAAACATCTATTAGAAATAGGCCTACACAGTTGCGTATTTAGGGGTACACGGAGGGGTAGGGGAAATTCCCCACACCTTCACAGTCGGTCCACCCCATTAAAAATGTCAGAGGGAAAAAATTACGTGCGAAGTAGTTAAAAATCACCTTATTTTTGCAACCTTACGCTCACTTATATCCTACTCCACCTTCTTCCCCATCACCCCCCCCCCCCACCACTGTGTCGAAATTTACACATTTCTATTCCCTGACATTAGAAATCTATGCAGAAAGGGAACGTACACCAGCACCACCTGTGACGACTAAAAGTGTAACTTCTCGGCCAGACCCTGTTCGAACGACAGTCGCCCCTCCAACCACGTTGGCTGCACAACAGTATCTTCCGTCGTGTAATGACATCAAGAGGGCGGGCTACACTGAGGACAATTTCTATGGCATCGATCCCGATGGTTCTGGAGGTGTCGAGCCCTTCACTGTCAAATGCGATATGACGACTGAGCTGGATATAGGTTAGAACAAAATTTCAAATTATCATTACAATTTGGCGCACCATAATTGAATACTAGTCAACAAATTGAGCGATATATACCGCCAACACAAAGATGGTTATGTAAATTCAATACTGATTATATGCCTTTAAAATGATAATTATTATGACAAGGAAAAAATGAAGTTCCGGTGGTGGAGGGATGGTGACTGTGATGATTATGTGAGACCGAGGAGAAATGGTGATGACGACGGTGGTAGTGACAGAGAGCGAAAAGTGATGATTCTGACGACATGAGGGGGAGAGAGCAGGAAGAGATGACGATGATGATTTAATAACAAATGGTGATACAATAATAATTGAAATAATAATAATAATAATGACAATAATTATTATAACGATTATGCAAATGATATTTGATGATGACGATAATGAATGCGATGATGATGATGATGATGATGGCGATGTGGTCAATGATACATATTAAGTTTTATTTTTTACCCACTCATCTGTACTCTTTTCCTGAAGGATTGACTATTGTTCAGCACGCTAAAAAATCCCCAGTGCGCGTTAGAAATCGTGACAAGCCCGGACAATTTGAATTCCGACCAGACTACCAAGTGACGACAAATCAACTTAAAAAACTTGTGATGAACTCCCGTTCATGTAGGCAGTATGTAGCCGTGAGTACTGGTATTATTTACCTTTGATTTCTTTAAGCTTTTCGGTTCTGTGCAGGAGGCCAACCACTACAGAATGTTTATGAGGCCATATTTTAGATAAATAAAATCATGGTTTCATCATTTCGATTTGATAAAATCCTTCAGTTTGCAAGGAATGTTTAATATCATTTGATTGCAATACATTATCTCCGAAGTGTCCTAACATTTTGAC